GCGTGTGGTTTTCCGCACATAAACCACGGGCGGCTCCTGAAAAGCGGATCATTGTGTGGGCGTTCAGAACACCGGTGGACGCATGGAGTGTCGACCAATGCACCCCGATCCCGGCATGAGACCTGGCGGACACCGCCTTGAGAGAGGTGCGGGAGAGACGTCGGGCATGGAGTCGAGTTGCGGGACCCGCCTTCGGCCAAAGCATCGAGGTACTGGTTACGCTGATCGGGATCGAACGGAATGAAAAAAGAATTCGTTATCATAAGAACGGTGCATTTTTTTTAATGTCGCCGGTTGGCGAGCCCAAATAGACCAAGCACATCTTAGTTATGATGTCGTGCAAATGGTTCGATGTTTGACGAGGCCTCTTATCTTCTCTTTCGTTCTTTATCCAAAAATGCAACACACGAAAACGAGGCCGTGTACTGCGGCGGGCCCTCGATCTACATTAAGTCAAGACAAGGTTGCCAATATGGTTGAGCTCCAGGGCGACCAAGGTAATTCTAAGATTCTCCACCCATCGGGGGGTGGTGTTGGGGGGGTGTGTGGGTTGTGGGAGTGGGGTGGGGTGGGGACAGGTGGGAAAAGCGCGTCGAAGGAACGCCGAATTGAACTACTCCATGCTGGCCTCAGCGACCCTGAAATATCACGGCTGACGCCGCCATTCCCTCTGAGGCATTTCTTACGATCTCATAATCATTCGGTTGTTCCAGGACCATTTTGCGCTAACCCACTCCCGTTCCTCCCACCACTTCGGCGCCAGAGCTCAACCGATGCACCTACATCCAACTGCAAATGTATTACGCACCAATCGAACAACTAGAACAAAGAGGCCGACTTGGCATTGACCTCGGGGGACCGCAACTACTGGAGCAATCGTACAGTTCGACAGACAAGAATGAAAACCACTCTGGCTAACCACATGATTCGGGACATTGCATCCAACCAGTGTGTACCTGACATGACCCGGGCCATGAATGAAGCGAGGACACATCGTATATGTTTTCTTCTGTTTCTCCAAGTATCAGGATTCAGGAACCGGTGCGGATAACCCCATCCCCACCGTTATCCGATCCCACGAGCCGCATGTCACAGGACTGGCACTCTTGATAGGAAGTGCATTAGACAAATGACTTGGCTGGGACCAGAGCGGAACAACGGCTCGACTGACAAAGGTTTGACAGGGGATGGAGTCGGCTGCCAATGGCAGTAGTCGAACGTATCCCGGAGCAAAGTCAGTATCAAACACTCCGAAATCATGGAAGAATCACCCCCCGACATGCCAAGGCGTCCCTCGGTGTTCACCGCGTCCAGGTCCGGACTAGCCTCATCGCACCGCGGACACGGCCTTCGGCAATCCATAACCACTGCTCCAGTGAAGAGCCCTCACCGAACGAATACACGCCATTCCACGCCCGTAGGAACCAGCCTGCGCACATCCTGACCGTCTGCGAAACTCCACCGGAGTCGATCGATTGCCAAGTCAGTTCCTCCTTACGATACCTCTCGCGTTGGTAAATCCAGATCGGGCACATGCAAAGCACGGCCAAACATGGCGCGGCGATTTCGGTGTAAGCAGCCAAGGCCTACCCCCCAGGTCAGTCATCCCGGTGCTCCCGATTCCAGCACGTTGACCTCCTGGCCTTCCGTCCAACACCCTGCAGGCCACAGTAGAAAAAGTATGTTCGGTGTTTGTTGGGGATATGGATGGGAAACTTAAAATAATAAAAAGCCCGGTCTCGTGCTTCCACCGATACCACCACGCCGCTCGTTCCGTGTTTATTCCTACAGAGACGTGCCGTCACCACATGTGGTGTATGCGCACCAGCCGCCGTGCCAATGACCACCCGTCCACGCTCAGCGCCAGCAGCCCCGCCGTGTCCGCCGCAAGCTGGCGAATCCCAAATCCTCCCACTTGCCGGAAGGTCCAACGCGGAGAACGGAATGAACCGAAGACCTACAAGGTGTTCTGGCCTCCGGGTGGCCTGCGGCAGAAGCCCATAGGGATCCCAGGTCACAGACGAATGCAGACCGTATGGTCCGCCCATCAGGCTTTGAAAGACCACCGAACAGAGAAACGAAAAGCCGTACCATTGACCAGATGTGATCGTCTGTGCTAACACCGTTAACTCCCGCCCACAGTCCCCTTGGTGGCAAACCACGCATCTCGCCTCCAGCGCAAGGTCCAATAATGCAAATGATTTCCATCACTATCATAACGGATCCTTTTCGCCTTAGGATGTCTTCTGGTCGAATAGGCTGGATCTAAGTCGTAACGCACAACGAAATAGTCAGGTCATCAGATAGCCGCCGGCCGCCATTGCTACGAATATTCCGGTAGATGCGCGACCCCACGGGACCGCGTCTCTCCGGGTGGAACTCTGCGTGATCCACAACGTTTTTGCCTTGGCGTAAAGGCAGCTAACGACTGGCGGCCCTATTACATGTGGAATACCAGACGACGCCATTCCCTATCCTGGGGGTCTCAGAGAAACTGTGTACGAAGTAGAAGTAGCTGCAACAGATAACGATGCCAAGTACAGAAAAAGGGATTGGAATAACAAGACTGTGGGGGTAGGGGTAGGCAAGGAAAAAGGTACAGGGGGGGGGACAAGGTGGACAGGACACATCTTGTCCTTTTTGCTTTTGCACTTTTTTTTTTTTTTTTCATTTTTGCCAGGTGCACTGTTATTTCTCTTTACGTCGGTAGTTAATTCTTTCTTTACCTTGTTTGTACCTGACACTTGTTTAACTGGTTCTTGGGTCCTAGTATGTGCCTTGAAGCACAAAGCCACGCTGTTCCAAAAACGCACATGTGGGTTACTCAGCGACAATTGTCGTTTTCTGGCATCGTCGGGCAGGCGAATCACCGTGTAAACCTGGTACGATTGCCCAAGCGGACGCCCCGATGTTCACTCGGCTGTCCAATCGAGACTAGCTGCAGGCCCATGCAGATGCCGAGAAACGGGCGTTACCGCTGGCGGTGAAAGTCCCGCAATGGCATGCACCAAACCACGTTCGTTCCAGGGCGATTCAATCGCGTGACGGCCCTAGCGCCAGCCCCAGCAGCACTACCAGAAGAACAACGCGTCGGCCGATAAAATATCAAATCCGCCAACCATTCGTCTGATCGCAGTTAACTCATGGTCGCCACCCGCAGGTATCCAGCGCGCGGTAGACGCTGCGCAGGTTGGCCGACCTCGTAGTCAACAACGACCAGTTTTCATTTCATCGGTGGATGCCCTACGTCCGCTGTCCGGTAGCGCGTTCGATGGCAAGTCGCGGGTCTTCGTACGCGCCCACCACGAACAGCAGGTCGCCGAGTGCGGATTCACACTACGACACCAGCAACTAGTTGGTCAGCAGCCCGACCTCACCCAGGCCACCACGCGCCGCTCGGCGGTAACGGCACAATGCAGCGGGCCAGTCCATGCGCACGCATGCGGGGGAGCCACCGGCAGATGAACACCGTGGGCCATCAGTCATATCTTCCTCGAGAGCGAGTCGATGGCGTTTTCCTGTCCAGATTTCGACCATCTCGGGAGTCACGGCAGAAATGCTGCTGGAACAACTCGGACTGTGCCGGGTCTGGTGGCAACTCGGCGGCGACAGTGAACAGCTCGCTCTGGAGGTTGCGCACAGCTCCTTCATCACCCGGTCGTCGCGGACATGGCGGCGGGCATACTCCATTGCGGAGACTGCTCATCGGTAACGCCATAGCTCGGTGTGAGGAGTTGTTCTTGAAATCGGCCGCCATACAGCCGCTGTTTCTCCCTGTCCCGAACTTAGTGTAGACCGTTTGCGGTATTCCGAATCCGAAGAGGACACAGGCGTCCCTTCACGACAGCGACTCGAAATTCTGTTTCCGATGGCTTGTCACGTACCTCTATGACAGCATCACCTATGTTCGTCAAATACCCTCGGAAACCGGCGACCGTCTCTGACTTCACCTTTTTGCGTGTGTCCCTTACAATGCCCCGCGCCAGTCGATTGTTAAGCTGAGCCAGGATTCCCGCTCTCGCTGCTCGCACGCACGACTTGCACTCATTCCATATGGCCTACTATTCCCTTGCGGATGACGATTTGCCCTCCCACGAACGCGCGGCCCCTGTCTGACTCTTGTGCTTGCCTTGCCGTTGGCGAGCTCTATAGCTCAGACACGGCGCGTAGCATACTTTTTGACGAGTGTGGCTTCCGCCGGGACACTACAATCGGCAGTCGCTCTGCTTCAGGCGGTCGACCTGCATTTCGGCAGTTGGTCATGCTTTTGCCATCATTGGGTCATGGCCTTGGTTCTCGCCCGTGCCTCCGCGAAGATTTGTGACCCTCTTTCCCGATGAGTCGAAGGTATGCTTTCCTCCCCTCAGTAGGCCGGCGGCCATTCTTACGCAGCTTATCGCACGTTTTCTTTGCCGGATGCGCAGGTTACGGGCGAGTAGTATTGGAGTTAAAGACGTGTGTGGAGGTCAAATGTGTGCAAGTATGTGCAAATTTTGTAACTCTCTCAGCTGGGCGTTCGGCCCACAGGCGCCTCGGTTGTCGCCGGAGGGTCGGCGCCGACGCGACGAGTTGGGTGGCCCGGCGTGTCCTGTCCCCGATAGATCTAGGGCGTGGCGCTGCGCTGTGATGAAGCGCGCCGGAGGCAAAGTCGGGTTAGTCGGCCATTGTTGCACTAGGTGCGTTGGTCGCGGGTTGTGGGTCGCGGGACTTCGAGTCTGCCATTCATGGTAGGGTGATGTCATGACGCTTGGCAAGGAGCTTCTGTCAGGAGATAGGGCGACCTGCGGAGAAGAGAAATTGGGCTTTGGCATCCCGGCTTGCGGATTAGCGGCCCCATATATTCTGCGAGGAAATGCCTCACGCTTACAACGGACCACCAGCCCGTTAACCACCTGAATTGGGACGTCTCCTTTCGGTCGGCGGCTGTCGAGGGGACACAAGCGCCCTTGCGGTCGAATGGGGATATAATTGGAAATGGATCAACTGCGAGGTGAGTCGCCATGCTAAATGAAGTTCGCATAATTGGTGTCGGGGGGATGCCGGAGTTCGGCCCTGGAGATGACCTGGCTGGACTGATGATAGACGCGGCCGCCGCCCAGGGCACCCCCATTGAAGCGGGCGACATCCTGGTGGTCACTCAGAAGGTCATATCCAAGGTCGAAGGCAAGGTGATGACCTTCGAGGGCGTGGAGCCCTCGGCGCTGGCCATCACAATCACAGAGGGCCACCGCCGCGACCCGCGGCACACCGAGATGATCCTGCGAGAGTCCGTTCGTATCGTGCGAATGGACCGTGGTGTGATCATCGCGGAGACGAAGCACGGCTTCTACTGTGCAAACGCGGGGATAGACGCCTCCAACATACCCGGCAACAACACCATTGCCCTGCTTCCCGACGATTCGGATGTTTCGGCCCAGAGCATCCGCGAAGCCGTGCGACAGCGGCTGGGTGTGGACGTGGCCGTCATCGTCTCCGACACCTTCGGGCGTCCGTGGCGTAACGGTGCTGCCAACGTGGCCATCGGCGTGGCCGGAATGGACCCGCTGCTGGATTACGTGGGCGCCCTGGACGCCCACGGCAACGTGCTCCATACCACCCAGATCGCCGTCGCCGACGAACTGGCCGCCGCAGCCGAACTCGTGACCGGGAAGGCCCTGGGCATTCCCGTGACCATCATCCGGGACTATGAGTTCGAGACATTGGAGGGCGCCACCATCCAGCGCCTGCTCCGCACCGGAGAACGAGACCTGTTCCGGTAAAGACGACCTTTCGTTTGCGAGGACAAACGCTCAGGCTTGTGGTGCTCTCTCCGGCCAGCCCAGGCCAGTGCCATAGGCGCGGAAGTCTCCCTCAATTGACAGCGGGAGCTGACGTATTTCGTCGGGTTCGGCAAAGTTGCTCACTCCCACTCCCAGCAGGCGGAAGGTGCGCCCGGTGGTGAGCTCGGCCGAAAACAGTCGCCACGCCAGCTCCTGAATGGGGCCCGGTTCGTTGGAGGGTGACGGGAGAGTGGACTGCCTAGTGAAAGTGGTGAAGTCCGCCAGCCGCAACTTCACGGTTACCGTTCTTCCCTGCAGGCCCTTCCGCTCAAGGCTGCCGGCCACCCCGCCTGCCAACTCCTCCAGGACCCGCCGCAATTCCTCCGGGTCGCCGAGGTCGTCGGGGAAGGTGGTTTCGGAGGACACCGATTTGGTGATGCGCTCGGTGTTTACGGGCTCGTCGTCCAGCCCTATGGACCGCAGTCGCACGCTATTGGCACGCTGACCGAACATGCGCTCGAACCACTCGGGCGGCTGCTCCGCCAGTGCGCCGATGGTGTCGACCCCCTCAGCCTTCAGACGCTCGGCGGTCTTGGGGCCTATGCCCCACAGTTTTCCCACCGCCAGGGGAGCCAGGAAATCCGCCTGATCACCCGGGGGCACCACTACCAGACCGTCGGGCTTGTCGAGGTCGGATGCGATCTTGGACACCGACTTGCTGACGCTGACCCCTACCGAAACGGTCAGACCAGTCTGGCTCTTCACCCGCCGCTTCAGGTCCAGGGCTACGCCCAGCGGCCAGCGGCCCTCTGATTCATTGACCGCCCCGCTGATGTCCAAGTATGCCTCGTCCAGCGAGAGCGGCTCAATGACCTCAGTGAACTCGCGGAATACTTCCATCACCTGCCGCGACATCTCACGGTAGCGGGTGAACCGGGGGCGGACGATTATTCCCTGAGGGCAGAGACGCACGGCGGTGCGCATGGGCATGGCCGACCGGACTCCGAAAGGCCGTGCTTCGTAGGATGCCGTGGCCACGACACCACGACTCTCAGGGCGTCCGCCGACCAACACAGGTTTGCCGCGGAGTTCAGGGTTGTCAAGCTGCTCCACGGTGGCGTAGAAAGCGTCGAGGTCGGCGTGGATGATGTGTCGCATGAAACACCCGCAGGGGTGAATCTGATACGTGTCAGTCGGAAGGCGTAACGAGGTAACTGGTCCCCATTTTACACCCTGAGTTTATCTCGCCCTTAGAATGAACGAGTTGAGCGAAGGATTCGGTGAACAGCCAGGGCGATCGCGTTTCAACAGAATCCAGCTACTGAGCGGGACTGCATCGGCATGGATAAGGTCATCTCAGTTTGATTTCCGATCCGGGCAGGGTCTGCAGGGTCTGAATTTTCAAATTCTGCGGACAGACCGGCTGGTTGGCCGGTGAATCTATCGGACTGCGATGTGGGAATTCTGGGACAGAAAATAGGGTCTGGATTCCCATTTTGTCCCATTCTGTCCCATTGGGTTTGTTCGGCTGGGCGACGGCGCCTCCGGGGTGCCGGGAAGGGCGTATGTTGGGAATCATTCACAGGGTTCATGATAGGGAGGTGTCATGAGGCATGGGAAGGGGCAAGTGTCACCAAATCGCGATTGCTGTGCGACACAGCACCGCCGTGGCGCCCGCCGTCCCTCCGCGATACAATGTCGTGAGCCATAAAAAGAGCGGTCGCCGCAGACGCCATAGCCGCAGGAGACGGTATGCCGACTATTCTCGAAGAGTACATCGCCAAGCACCCAGGTTCCTCCCAGCGCTACGAGGAAAGCGTGACGATTTTCCCCGGCGGTGTCACACACGACTCCCGCTACGCCGTGCCCTTCCCGCTGTTCATGACCCACGGCGAGGGACCGCGCAAGTGGGACGTTGATGGCAACGAGTACATTGACTACGTGTCGGGCCACGGGGCGCTCGCTGCTGGGCCACTCCCATCCGGCCATTGCCGAGGCGGTCTCACGTCAAATACTGCGCGGCACGCACCTCGGCGCCTCCACCGGTGAAGAACTGCGCTGGGCCAGGGCCATCAAGGCGCTGATGCCGTCCATAGAGAAAGTGCGCTTCAACAGCTCCGGCACCGAGGCCACCCTGATGGCCATGCGCCTGGCTCGCGCCTACACCGGCAAGAACAAGGTGGTCAAGCTGCAGGACCACTTCCACGGCTGGCACGACTACGCCATGGCCGGTTCCGACCGCTCCGCACCGGGCATTCCCGACGCCAGCATGGCCACGATGGTCATTGTTCCGCCCGGCGATCTGGGGGCGGTAGAGGACGCATTGAACCGCGACGATGATATCGCCGCACTGATCCTGGAGCCGACGGGCGCCCACATGGGTCAGATGACCTTCGATACGCCGTCATATCTGAAGGGGCTCCGTGAACTCACCGCCAGGCACGAAGTGGTGCTAATTTTTGACGAAGTTGTGACCGGTTTCCGTGCCTCCCCCGGTGGGGTGCAGGTGCGCTACGGAATCTCGCCGGACCTTACGACCATGGCCAAGATCGTGGCCGGGGGGCTTCCCGGGGGCGCCGTGGGCGGCAAGGCCGACATCATCGACATGATCGCTCACCGCGGCGACCCGGAGTGGGACAATGTGCGTCGCGTCTACCACCCGGGCACCTTCAACGGCAACCCCCTGTCGGCTGCCGCCGGGGCCGTAGCTCTGGAATTATTGGCCAGTGAACCCATAAACGAACGTGCCGACGCCATGGCGGCCCGGCTCAAGGCCGGATTCAACGAGGTCCTGGGGCGGCTGGAGATCCCTGGCCACGTGCATGGCATCGCTTCGATGCTCCACGTGGTGCTGGCCGACTGCGACTGCGACCGCGAGATATGCACCATGCCGCACCGGCAGATTTCGGCAGCCGCGGCCTCCCCGGCGACGACGGCAATGAAGCGTGGCCTCCAGAACCGCGGGGTGGACATAATGGGGCGCGAGACCATACTGGTCTCCGGTGTCCACAATGAGTCCGAAATAGACCAGACGGTCGAGGCTTTCTCTGACACCATGGCCGCAGTGCGGGCCGAGGGGCTGATCTAGCCATCTGATGTGGCGCGCGGCTGCCCGAATATCGGGAACTCTGGAAACAGTTAACGAATCCAATAACAAGGAGTGAATGATATGCCTTCGTTTACTGACAAGCTGACAGTCAACGGGTCTGAGATGGAAATGTACGCTGCGGTTCCCAGTGGCGGAACTTCGCCCTATCCCGCGGTGGTGATCGCGTTTCACGTCGGGGGGCTGGACGAGTTCGACAAGGTCATGGCCGACCGGCTGGCCGAGGCTGGCTACGTCGCCGTGGTGCCTGACCTGTTCCACCGCTACACGGAGGAACAGCTGAACGGGCCGCGACTGGAGCGACTCGGCTACCTGAATGATCAGGACATCATTGCCGACATGAACGCTGCGGTGGATTTCCTGGTCGCCGACTCCCACGTCGACAGCGACCGCATCGGCGTCACCGGCTTCTGCATGGGCGGGCGCATAGCGTGATGATGGCCGCTTCCAACCCGATTTTCAAGGCAACCGTGCCCTTCTATGGCGGCAACATCATGGGTATCTGGGGCAACGGCGCTCAGACGCCCTTCGACATGACCTCCAGCATCAATTGCCCGATGCTGTTCCACTTCGGGTCGATTGACGCAAATCCGTCGCTGGAAGACCGGGACAAGCTGGAGGCGGAGTTGACCCGCTTGGGGAAGACCTTTGAGTTCCATACCTACGAGGGCGCGAACCACGCCTTCATGGATTTCAACAACCCCGACCGGCACCACCCGGAATCTGCTGCCGCGGCCTGGCCTCGCACCATCGAGTTCTTTGACAAGCATCTCAAGGCTGCCACTGTAACTGCCTAGATATTCCGTGACAATGACAGGGGGAAGGATGCTCCTTTCCCCTAGCAACTCACCTGCAAAGGAGAAGCTGATGCCTCGCGTGTCTCTGGACCTTGAAAATGCCGCCGACCTGGCGTTGCTGAACGCAGGCGGCTGGCGCGTTGCAATGGGGCTTGTTCCCGGCGAATCGAACCAGGGGTTGGTCGCGGAAATGAGGGGAAGCCCGGCCCGACTGCCCGACTACGACGATTCCGGGTGGGAGCAGAACGCCGAAATCCAGGAACGTCGTTCCGTAGGGCTGACGTTCGCCTGGTACCGGCTGAAGGTGACCATCCCGTCCACGGCCAAGGGGGAGGATCTGGCAGGCCGCCGGGTCTGGTTTGAGACCAACGTGGACAACTATGGCGAGGTCTACGTGGACGGCCAGATTGACCGCAACCTTTGGGTTATCACGGGGAACAACGTGCCCAAACGCGTCCTCATCGAGGAAAGCGCCGTTCCCGGCACGGAGCACGTAATCGCGGTGCTGGTCGGAAACGCGCCGCTGGCTGAGCCGGTGGGCACCATTTTTGTACGATACGCCACTTTGGCGTTTGAGTAGAGGGAAGGGGGAAAGGCCTGGATCAATCATCTTAGCGAGCGAGATGGTGCTATTTGGGCACCAAGCTTTCGCAGACTTTACAGGGTTGTAGTTAAAGGCGGGGACAATTTGCACTGCGCCATACCAAGCATCCGCCGGAGGGGAACATGCCAGCATCACAACAACGGCTGACGGTAGGCGACGCCAACATGACGGCGTACCTGAGCATACCGGACGGCGACGGTCCCTTTCCGGCGGTGGTAGTCGCACATCATGCACCAGGCGTCGATATGTTCATCCGTGAGATCGTTGACCACCTGGCCAGAGATGGGTATGTGGCGGCCGCGCCCGACCTGTTCCACCGCATCACCAAGGAGATGGTGGAGCAGACCGGACGTAGCAAACGCGACCAACTGAGCGACCCGGACACAATCGAAGATGTGAACGCAACCGTCGATTTCCTCCGTTCCCACGAGTCGGTCGACCGAGACCGGCTGGGCATCACCGGCTTTTGCATGGGCGGCCGGGTGGTATGGCTGGCGGCCTGTACCAACCCGCACTTCAAGGCTGCAGTGCCGTTCTACGGTGGCAATATTCTTGTGCCCTGGGGCGCGACTGAGACCGCGCCTTTTGCCCTCGCTGAGGGCATCAACTGCCCGATGCTGTTCCACTTTGGCGAGGCAGACTCCAACCCATCAGCGGACGATATGCGCACGCTGGACGATGAGCTAACCCGACTGGGGAAGGAGCACCGCTTCTACAGTTACCCTGGCGCAAACCATGCCTTTATGAACCGCTTTATGCCCCAGCGTCACCACCGCACGTCGGCAGAGATGGCCTGGGCGCGCACCCGCGAGTTCCTGGCGGAGCAGTTGCAGCCTGCGCCGGTTGGCTGAGGTGAGAATCCAAGGGAGACTCTTTACTCAAGGCTAGAGTTTTCGCGGCCACAGTCACACATTCCGGAGGTCCAGATGACAACCAGTCGCACTTATGCAGGCCAGACGGCCGCGCCCGAATTCCCGGAGAGCCTCGAATGGGTCAACACTGACCGGGCGTTAACCATGGATGAACTGAGGGGCAAGATTGTCATCCTAGACTTCTGGACCTACTGTTGAGTCAACTGCATGCACATTTTTCCGCAGTTGCGGAAACTGGAGCGCAAGTACGCCAGCGAGCTGGTGGTGGTGGGAGTCCACTCGGCCAAGTTCCCCACCGAAAAGGAGACCGACAGCCTGATCTCCGCGGTGCGACGCTGTGAGCTGGAACACCCAGTCATCAACGACGCTGAGTTTCAGGTATGGCAGCAGTATTCCTGCCGGGCCTGGCCGACGCTGATGTTCATCGACCCCTCTCGGCAACGTCATTGGCAAGCACGAAGGAGAGATGACTTTTGAGCAGTTCGACACCCTGCTTGGCGGCATGGTCGCAGAGTTCGATGAAATGGGGATCATGCAGCGATCGCCGCTTCCGACCACTCCGCCCCGCAGCCCGGAGAACGCTCTCAGCTTCCCCGGAAAGGTGCTTGCCGACGAAGCCGGGGGACGGCTCTTCATCGCGGACACCAACCACAACCGCATAGTCGTCTCCTCATTTGACGGGGACGTGAAGCAAGTGATCGGAACTGGAGAGGAAGCCCTGATCGACGGCTCCCTGTCGCAGTCCGCGTTCAACCACCCGCAGGGGATGGTCATCGACGGCGACGTGCTGTATGTCGCAGACACCGAGAACCACGCCATCCGCCGCGTTGACCTGCAGGCTGGCCGGGTGGAGACCATTGCCGGTACCGGCGAGCAGGGTTACGAGCGCGAGGGGCGCCGGCCGGCCCGTTCCTACAGCCTGAGCTCACCGTGGGACGTTGTCCTGCATGATGGTGTGCTATACATCGCCATGGCCGGCATCCACCAGTTGTGGTCGCTGGAACTGGAGACTGGCGAGGTCGGCCCCTACGCCGGCAGCGGACGGGAGGCTATCACCGATGGCCCGCTGGCGACATCTGGCCTGGCGCAGCCCAGCGGCATCACTACGGACGGCGACCGGCTGTTCTTCGCTGACAGTGAGACGAGCGCGATACGCAACTGCGACTTGAATTCCAGTGGCTCAGTGCGCACCCTGATCGGCCTGGGCCTGTTCGAGTTCGGCGACGTTGATGGCGACGATTTCCGTGTGCGGATGCAGCATCCCATCGGAATCACCCACCACGACGGCGTGCTGTATGTGGCTGACACCTACAACCACAAGATAAAGCGAGTGCTGCCCAAGACCCGAGCGGCGTTCACGGTGGCGGGCACTGGCACCCCGGGGTACGTGGACGGCCCATTCGGGCAGGCGAGGTTCGCAGAACCCTGCGGGCTCAGCATCGCCAACGGCAAGATGTACATTGCTGACACCAACAACCACGCCATCCGCGTCGCCGACATGGAGACCAACGAGGTGGCGACGCTGGAATTGACCGGGCTGTAAGGCGAGAAAGGAGGGAATTATGGAAGCCCTGAGGTTCATTGACGGCGACTCCCACGTTCTCGAGCCAGAATCGATCTGGGAAAACTATCTGGAAGAAAAGTACCGCAACCTGGTAAGCGCCCATGTCCGTTGGGTGACGGCGCCCTCAGGTCAGGGCGTTAATGCAGTAGACGAGTCATCCACCCGGGAAAGTGCCTTGGCCTTCGAGTTGGAGGTGGAGGTGATGGGCACGTATCCTCTGGGCGTTAGGGACACCGACGCGGCCACGCGCAGTTTCCAGGACCGGGACCTGGATGAGTTGGATGTGGCCTATGGCAAGTGGGCCGACCAGGACTTCCCGTCCAGCGCCTATAGGGAAGTTATGGACGTTCATGGGATTGAACACATGATTCTCTATCCAACGGCCGGGTTCTGGACGACGGGTGTGGCCGAAATGGACGGGGAGACCGCCATGGCCATTCGGCGGGCATACAACCGCTGGCTGGGTGACTACTGTGCCGAAATTGGCAAGGGTGCCTGCGGAGCGGCGTCCATTGATCTCCGGGACCCCGTGCTGGCCGCCAAGGAGGTGCGCCGGTGCGTGCAGGAGTACGATTTCAAAGCGGTGCATCTGAACCCGGCGCCCGTTCCCAACCTGCGCCTGTTCGACCCAGAGTGCGATGTGCTATGGGCGACCTGCGCCGAGTTGGGAGTGCCTATCGGCCTGCATCCCAGCGCCAACCATCCATTCGACCAGGGTCTGCTGGATTACCTGCCCGGCCTTCGCAACTGCCGTACGACCGTGTCCTTCGTGATGGGGAGCATGCTGGCATGCACCGCTTTCATAATGGGCGGCGTGCTGGAGCGACACCCTGACTTAAAGCTGGTGTTCCTGGAGTCTGGCTGCGGCTGGGCCTCCTTCTGGCTGGACCGGCTCGAGGCGGGCATCCAGGGTGGCACGCGACGGCTCAGGATACAGGGATTGAACAGCAATCCTGTCGACTACTTCCAGCGGCAGTGCTTCGTGGCCGCCGACCAGGACGACCCTGGCATCGCGCCGCTGATCGAGTCCATCGGTGATCACGTAATCGTCGGGGCCACTGATTTTGGGCATCCAGAGGGAAGGAAGTACTTCAAGGCCAAGCAGGACATGCTGGAACTCCCCAATGTGTCCATGGAAAGCAAGCACAAGATCATGTGGGACAACGCGTTGCGGGCATATCCCATCAACCCAAACTAGAACCGCCTGGCTCCGCCAATTCACATGTAGTGGCGGACGATTCGAGGACACAAACCAGACCCGATCATCTTGGCATTGGCTGCTGATGATCGGGTCTTTTCTCTCTCAATTTGGATCGCACTCGGTTCGTGAGTGTTTTTCGCCAACGGCCAACTTAGAATACACGGCCGGAAGGGCAATCATACTCTATGGCCGGCTAATCACCATAATCCGGTCGCGGTGTGAGAGGTCTTGCTCTGCAGTAATCTCGGCATCGGGAAAGTGCTGCAAAGCGACAGCCTCAGCGGCAGGGAACTGCTCCGGATCCAGCTCCAGCAGGATGATGCCCGGGCTGTTCAGTTTACCCGGAGCCTGTGCCAGCAGACGCCGCACCAAGTCAAGGCCGTCGGGCCCTCCGTCGAGGGCCGCGCCTGGCTCGCACTGCACCTCGGGCTGCAGTGTGGGGATACGGTCAGTGGGAATGTAGGGCAGGTTGGCAACGATCAGGTCTACCGACTCGGGGACTGGCTCAAGGAGGTCGCCGTGGCCCAGTCGAATACGGTCGGCGACGGAGTGAGCGCGTATGTTCCAGGCGGCGACATCCAGTGCCGGCTCCGATATGTCCACGGCATATATGCGGGCGGCCGGCAAGTGGATGGCCAGATTGACCGCGATCGCGCCGCTGCCCGTCCCGACGTCGGCAATACTCAGCTCACGGGTCTCCATCCCCATCAGCGCCATGAACAGCGTGTGCTCGACGATGCCCTCGGTCTCCGGTCGGGGAATCAGGACATCCGGGGTCACCACCACGTTGATGCCATAGAACTCGCGGTATCCAAGAATGTAGGCAAGCGGTATGCGTTCGAGGCGCTGACCGATGATGCCAGCAAGATCGTCCGCTGAGTTGGAAGGAAACCTCGGTTTCCTGTTCGGCAAAGATGTTCTGCCTGGTCATACGCATCACCGTCATCACCATGACCTCGGCCTCCAGGCGGGCGTCGGGGATACCGGCGGCCTCAAGGGTCTGGTGAGTCTCCCTGATGGTTTCGCGGACTATTGTCATGGTTTCACTGGCCTTACTGTAGCTAAGTTTGGGTCGGGAATTTCCGCAGGTTTGAACTACTGCCGGATGAATACCTCTACGGCGGTAGTGCCAGATGGATTTGTGAAGGAAGATAACCGGCCATCAGGATACCGGCGGGCCAGTTCTTCCTGCAACTTGAGGGCCTCAGGCGCATCCGCGCTGACGAATACGACGCATTTCACCGGGGGTTCTGGCAGTTCAAAACTCGTCGCGAGCTCTTGATATTCGATTCGCCGCGGCCACGGACCGTTCGGATACATTGCTGCCAAGATTTGACTCAAGAGGCTGGCTTCGCCCGTGGCTCGACCCGCAAATATGGTTGCGCTCGCGTCTCCGGAACAGCTGTCGGAACGGTACGCTCCCAATGCGACCGCCTCCTGAGAATGAGGGAAAACAGTTGGCGTAATAGTCCAGAACTGCCATAGATTCAGAATGAGAACTGCTGGCAGCACCACGGCCAACAGTACCGGGGGGAACGCATTTTTGAGAAGCCCCGGAATCTCTGCGCGGGAGCTGGGAACGACATCCGACCACCGTTGTATGAGGAGCCCAGCCATCAGAGCCAGCGGGGGCACCGTGAAGAGTAGCCGGGTTATCGCCACATGTGGATAAGGGGACAGCACCCCGGTCATGAAGATTCCGACTCCGAACCATATCAACAGCAGCCTGTACGCAGATTGACGCATATGACCGAGGGCAAACCCAACGCCCAGGGCAGCCAGCACTCCGCTGATCGGGTCAAGCAACGGCCCATAAACGTAGGTATGGACAGCTGAATTGTAGTTGAATGCCTGCAGGTTCAATTCGATATTGCTCAACAGGCGATGCCCAACGGAGCCCGTTACGGCTTGGGAATACCCACCGACCACCTGTTCCAACATGCGGGTGAGAATTGCCTCCTGTTCCACCAGGAAGGTCGGAGCAATTGCCAGTACAAAACCCAACGCAATGGGCCATAGATGCAGCAATCGATTGGGGCTGCCCGCGGTCAACGAAAACGCGGCGATAATCGGAATGATCGCCCTGCCCGAATAGTGCGTGTAAAAGCCCAGACCCGCGACCAAACCAGCGGCGTAAATGAGCAGGGGATTGTGGTTCCTCCAGCCGAGTACGAACAGGGTTAAAGCCCAGGCAGCGACGGGGAGCGAAGACAGGTTGGTGTATCCGGTGTGTGAAAAGGCGAATATGTAGTGGCTGAAGGCGAAGATCGCCGCAGCCGAAATGGCAGTGATCCTGCCGCCGAGGGTCCGGCCCAGAAGGTAGATAGCGGGGATTACAATCGCGGCGTTCAGAGCTTCACTAAAGGTCCACCCGAAATAGTCGACGCCAAAGACCCGCATCACGCTCGCCTGGAATACAGAGTTCAGGACGGGATGCTTGTTGTAGACGCCCTCTTGGCTGAAGGGACGGACGATTCCCTCGTCGATGACGCGTTTGGCGTGCTCAAAGAAGAGATATTCGTCTCCTATGGCCGAGTAGTACCAGTGCTGCAAGTCATACAGGTTTACGGGCGAGAAATACGACTACTATCAGGGCGACCAGCGAGACGTCCCAACTGTACCTGCGTAGGAATGTCACAACTGTGGCGAAAGGCAGGGTATGCCCAGTGAGCGGCCGCCAGAACAGTGTAGAAAAGGCGGCAAGGGCCGCGACCCAGAGGAAAAGGGCACTCCCTGACTCCCACCCCGCAGCCAAAAGACCCAGCAGGACCACCATGACCAATGCGCCGGCGAGAGGAGCGATAGCCCTGTAGCGGGAGCGAAAGTCGACAGGTTGAATGATCGAGGTGGCCGGACTTTGAGGATCGGAAGTACCGTCAGATCTTGAAGACCGCTGGAACCACAACCCGAGTGATCCGAAGGCAAATAATCCGACGCCAATCGCCAGCAGAATCAGGTACCCCAGTGGTGCCTTGGTGTTGAGCTCTACCGAGAAATACAGGCCGACCTGAGCAACGATGACGGCCAGTGCTCCCGAGGCCAATAGAGGCCCTCGCATTTCCGAAATGGCCGTATGGACGGAGTCAGCAGCAGCCGAGAAGCTGGGTCTCGCACGTATGGCGGCGACAGGTGCAGGGGATGGGTGCGTCTCTAAATTCAGGGAAGAGAAGTCCGCCAGTTCAAGAGATGGCGTCTCGGGGGTGTTGCCCGCCAAATCCGTCGGCGCCGTTTGAAGGCTTGTTACGCCAGCACCGCACTTGTTGCAGTAACGGTTCTTGCCAGGATTTATGAAGCCACTGCTATCACAGGTGATGCTATTCAGCGTCTGACCGCACCCGCCGCAATAAATGGCTCTAGGCACATTCCTGAAGCCACACGAGTTGCAAACTGGAGTGTTGAGGGAGACAGCCAAAAACTAGGCTAGGCTTTCAACTATGTCTGAGGCAGGTGCGCCAGAGGGACGCTGGTGGAAGACAACCGGAAAGGTCAGATGCCTGCCTCGGCCAGCAGCCGTTCTTCCTCCCAGGAAACCATGCGGTCGATGATGTCGTCCCAATAGCCGTCCATAAGACGGGGGATACCGTGGAACGTCGTGCTGGCGCGATGGTCGGTCACGCGATCCTGAGGGTAGTTGTAGGTGCGGATCTTTTCGGACCTCTCTGCGCCCGCAACCTGCGAGCGGCGGGCCTGGCTGATTTCAGCGTCGTGGCGTTCCTGCTCGGCTTCGAAAATTCGTGCTCGAAGCATTGCCATGGCGCGCTGCTTGTTCTTGTACTGCGACCGCTCGTCCTGGCAGACCACGGTCAAGCCGGAGGGGCCATGCACGATCCGGACGGCGGTGGCAACTTTGTTGACGTTTTGACCGCCGTGCCCGCCGGCGTGGAAAATGTCGATCCGGAGATCTCCCTCGCTGATCTTGACCTCTACCTCGTCGGCTTCCGGCAACACGACCACCGTGGCCGTTGAAGTGTGGATGCGCCCCTGGGCCTCGGTTTCCGGCACCCGCTGGACGCGATGGACGCCACTTTCGTACTTGAAGCGGCTGAACGCTCCTCGACCCTGAACCTCAAAGACGATCTTGTTGTAGCCGCCCACCTCGCTATGGTTTGCATCCATAATGTCGACATCCAGCCGCGAATCTGCGCATAGCGACTGTAGGCGCGGTAGAGGTCACGAGCGAACAGGCCCGCCTCGTCGCCACCTGTCCCAGCCCGGATTTCGATTATCACGTCCCGCTGGTCGTTGGGATTTTTAGGCAGGAGGGCGGTTCGCAATGACTGGGTGAGTTCTTCCAATTTTTCCTGGTTGGATTCCAGTTCCTCACGGGCCATGTCGGCCAAGTCTGGTTCGGCACCTTCCTGTATCAGTGCCTCAAGGTCGGCGGTATCCTCGGAGAGTTGGAGGTACTCGCGGGCAATGGCCACCAGATCTTCGAGGGATGCACGCTCCTTGGCCAGTTCCTGCACGCGCTCGTAGTTGACCACCACATCAGGGTCGGCCATCGACGTTTCTATCTCTTCGAAACGCAGAATTATAGGGCCCAGTTTTTCAATCATTGAGTCCATCACCAACCCTGCCCGGCCGATTGTATTTCAATCAAGGGAATTGAAGATTCCAAGTGTGATCGTGTTTGTTTGTAACCCATTGCCACCATTATGGACAAGTTTACCGCAATTCGTTGGAGAAGTTCAAAGGAACACACATTTAATTGCTTGCTGTGGGGTTGTCGGGCCAGGCGGCACGGTAGCCGATTCAGTTCAACGGCTTGTCGCCCCAATGCAGGCATACTGTGCCAAAACCCAGCCGGCTATACCCTACAGAATGCAGGCCTGCTTCTCTCAGAATTTCCATCAGTTCATCCGCGCCGTAAAAGACATCCACCGACCGAGGGAGGTACGTGTAGGCATCCCGGTCGCGCGCCACGATGCTGCCGACCAGGGGCACAAGGCGGTGAAAATACATCCGGAAAAGTTGGGCCCTCATTCCCGATTCCATAGGGGACAACTCTAGCAGCGTAACTCGTCCACCGGGACGTATGACTCTCGTCATCTCTGAAATCGCCTTACGGACGTCGGGCATGTTGCGAGGCTGAAACCAGCCGTGGCACAGGCGAAGGTTCCTGTTGGAAAGGGAAGGGAAAGAGCATCACCTACAAGGAGATTGACCTCGCAGCCTGGTCGACAATTGGCCCTCTTCTGGGCGCGGCCAATCATTTCAGGTAGCAGGTCCAGTGCCACGGTCCGGTTTACTCGGGTGTGCTTTGCCAGCTGAAACGCTAGGTCTCCGGTTCCGGTGGATACATCCAACGCCGTGCCTGCGAGGTTCTGAGAGGCCAGTGCGGCGGTCTTGCGTTTCCAACCCCGGTGCATGCCCAGGGTCATCAGGTCGTTCATAAGGTCGTAGTGGGGGGAAATTCGCGAAAAAAGTCGAGCGACGTATCGCTGCCTTTCGTCGCCACTCAGCTCCGCCATAGGAGTCGCATCGGATGCAGGGTACGGCTGAAAGGGTTCAGTACAAGGCGTATTTCCTCCAGCGTCACGGCACCAAGAAGGCCCTGATCATCGCCCTCCTCGCCGAGGATTACTGGAGTGTACTCCTCACCCAGCGGAAGCCTTAAATAACATCGAGACAAATTGCGGGTTACCACTGTGCCATCGGCGAGGATGAATTTCTCCTCGCGAGTTGGCTCCAGTTCCAGCGACCGCCATACATTGAATGGGAGGAGGGTGTAGCCCGCGCCGCTGTCCACCAGGAAGTTGACTGTCTCTTCCTGGCCGCTCGGACCCAGGGCCTGTCCCTCAGCGAAGGTCAGTCCCATAGTCAGTGCTCTCCCCGCGGTATTGCTGGTGCTCGGGCAGCGTCATGTCAACCCCCAAGGCCACCAGGGTCTTGTTCACCACGTAATCGACTATATCCTCCACTGATTTGGGATTCAAATAGAAAGCCGGTCCGGCGGAAGAAACAACGGCTCCCATCCTGCTGAGAGTGAGCATGTTTTCGAGATGAATGCTGTGCAGCGGCGTTTCTCGCGGCACCAGGACGAGGGGCCTGCGTTCCTTCAGGCATACGTCGGCGGCGCGAAGGAGCAGGTTGCCGGAAATCCCGCTGGCAAGGGAGGCGATGTCTGTTCATGCTTGCAGGCACCACCGCCATGCCCGCCGCTGGATAGGAGCCGCTGGCGATGGGCGCCGCAGGTCGTTGATGGCGTTAGTGTACGAAGGCGGGGTGCTCCTGCCATTCGATGAGGTTCTCGTTCAGGTTGCAGCCCAACTCCTCCTGCCAGACCAACCGAGCAGCATGGAGCATACGACGGCGGTGGGGAGGTCGCGGCGCAGCAACTCGTCGACCATGGCTCGTGCCATCATCGCTCCGCTTGCGCCCGTGATGCCGACTATGACTGGCCCGGGCGTCAGAGCTTCACCGCCAGGATGGTGAACACCAGCAGCGACATTGAAATCACGCTGTTGTACTGGAACAACGGCGAACGCAGCTTCGACAGATCGTCTGCTTTGACCAAGCTGTTTTCCAGGGCCAGCAGGACAATGGCTATCGCCCATCCGATGAAGTAATAAAACCCCAGGCCCATCCATACGCCCAAGACCAGCAGAGCGGCGGCGGCAAGCAGGTGCATCGTCCGAGTTGTCCAGATAGCTGCGCCTATTCCAAATCGCTTGGCGAAGGAATTGGTCCCGTACTGCTTGTCAAAGTCATGGTCGGCGATTCCGTAAATGACGTCGAACCCTCCAGCCCACATGGTTACGGCGAAGGTGAGCAGCATGGGTTCCGGATCGAGACGACCGGTAACCGCGATCCAGGCTGCTGACGGGGAGATTGCCAAGGCAAGGCCTAGGAACAGGTGGCAGGCCCAGGTGATGTACTTGGTGAAGGAATAAAAGACCACATACACTGCTGCCACTGGGGCCAGAATCAGCGTCAAAGTATTGAGCTGCGAGGCGGCGTAGAAAAAGACCCCCGTGCCAACCACCGCCAGTCCGATTACATCGATGGGATGCAGGATCCCCTGGGGCAGATGCCGAGTCCGGGTGCGTGGATTGGCGGCGTCTTCCTTGCGGTGGATGACCCGGGTTGGCCGACATCCCGAGTGTGCGTACGCCAGTGAGGGCCACCGTGATCCAGATGAACACGCTCCAGCCGGGCCACCCGCTGCCTCCTGAATCCACCGATGCCAACATCATCCCCATGTAGCAGAACGGGAGGGCGTACAGTGACTCCCAGAACCGCACCACCCACAGGTAGTGAGGGATTTTGGCTATTGGATTGCGTATGGCGTTAGCGGCTTGCATAAATGCCCGGGACAGACCGGAATGGTCAAGAGATACCGTAGCTGGCCCACTTGTGATCAACGAGGTCTTTCACCTCAGGGCTCATTACCACATCGGGAGGCCACTCACCGGTGCGCCCACCCTCCTGCGGCATCTTTATGGTTGCGTCAATGCCAACCTTGCTGCCGAATTTGGGTGTGGGAGAAGCGACGTCCAGATCGTCGATGGGGCCGGTGGTGAAGACGAAGTCCTGCGCCGGGTCCATGTTGCTGGTTACCCGCCAGGCTACTTCAGAAATGTTTTTCACATCCACAAAATGATCAACGACAATGATGCCCTTCACCAGGCTCATCAGGCCCATCCCCCAGAGACCGTGCATCACCTTGCGTGCCTGGCCGGGGTATTCCTTTTTCACCGAAACAATGACCAGGTTGTGGAATATCCCTTCGGCGGGCATGTTCATATCCACCACTTCGGGCATGAGTGTTTTGATAACCGGCAGGAACATCCTCTCGGTTACCTTGCCCATCCAGTAATCCTCCGTGGGTGGCCGGCCTACGATGGCAGCAGGATAGATGGGCCGGTTCCGGTGGGTGATGCATGTGACGTGAAAAACGGGGTAGGGATCGGGCATGGAATAGTAGCCGGTGTGGTCGCCGAACGGCCCTTCCAGCCGTTGTTCGTTAAGGAGAACATAGCCCTCCAGCACGATTTCCGCCTCCGCCGGTACCATCAGGTCGCTTGTAAGGGCCTTGGCCAGCGCAACTCCTTCCCCCCGAAGGAAACCTGCCACCATCATCTCGTCAACGTCGGGAGGCATTGGGGCAGACCCCGACCAGATGGTAGCGGGGTCGCCGCCCAGCGCCACAGCAACGTCCAGGCGATCCAAACCGAGTTGCCGTCCAATGCGCTCGTGGTGGGCGCCTACCTTGTGGGTCTGCCAGTGCATGCCGGTAGTGCGCCGATCGTAGACCTGCATCCGGTAGATGCCGTAGTTCTGTATTCCCGTCTCTGGGTCTCGGGTGATTACCAGCGGCAGTGTGATGTAGCGACCACCGTCCATGGGCCAGCACTGGAGGATGGGGAACTTGAAGAGGTCGACGTCCTCGCCTTGGAGCACCACGTCCTGACAGGGGGGGTTGCTCACTGTGCGAGGCCGATAGGACGCAAGGTTGGCTAGCTGACCGAGAGTGCGAAGCTTGTTGACGATGCCCTCGGGAGGCCCCTGAACCATGTCCAATATGCCCTGCACCTTCTCCGCCACCTGGTCCAGTTCGTCACAAAGTCCGAGGGCCCAGCAAATGCGGTTGTCCTTGCCAAATGCGTTGATGAGGACGGGAATGTCGTATCCCAAGGGGCTCTCGAAGAGCAGCGCCGGCCCCCCGGACTTAATCATGCGGTCTGCGATCTCCGTAATTTCCAGCCGCGTGTCGACAGGGGTCGAAATACGATGGAGTTCGCCCTTTTGCTCCAGGAAAGTGATGAATTCCCGGATATCTTGAAATTTCATGGAGCGAACAATCCGTCTATGTGGCAGGGCACTTGCGTAGATGAAAAGAGGAGTAGGTTGCCTACTCACCAGCGTCGATCAATTCTATCCGCAAACGGGAAGGGCTTCAATGAAGGGCGGCCCTGGGAGAGCCGACAAAAGAGGTGCTAAAACGTGGAGCGGGCTCGTAGTGCGGAGGAGGTCGGCCGAATTGCTGGGCGCGGATTGTCATCGCCCGGGAGCTGTCAGAAAAATTGGCTGCCGGTGCTGAAAGAGCTGGGCGCACCCACGCTAGTTGCTCACGCCTGCAACTCTAAGAGCCGACTAGAATTAGGAACCTGCGAGACTCTTCACGCATGCGACTGAAGCAGTCGCTGCAGTAGACCGGGCGGTCGCCCCTGGACGGAACGGCACCATAGCGTCGTTGCCACATTCCGCGCAGACTATAGGATACATTTCGCGCGGCCCATCCTGGTAACCAACATGCCGCCCCCGCCACCGCCGCCCCCGCCGCCCCGCTGTTCAGTGCGGCGCACGGCCCGACAACTGCGGCAGCGCTTGGGTTCGTTTCCAAATCCGCGAGCCTGAAAAAATTCCTGCTCCCCGACGGTGAAGATGAACTCGCTTCCACACTCCACGCAAACCATGGTCTTGTCCGACAATGCCACGGGAGACCTCCTCAGCACTTTCAGGTACAGGGCCGGTGAGCTCTGTGCCCCAGCGGACCAACCGACGGCCGTCGGGATGGGAAAACCGGCTGGTTTACGTTGAAAAACCTGCCCCGAGTAACCTTGTGTGTGCGTATCACAACATTATAGCTATCAAAGGTGATTATACAACCAAAACTGGCAAACTCCCATAATTTTGCAGTAATTCGTCACATATCCGTTGATTTCGGTTTACATTGTGTAAACTGACCACCATGCGCCTGCATTCATCCGCATTTGCTTGTGATGGAATAACAAGCCAGACTACCTGCGGATGAGACCGCCTCACCTTGGTGTCTCAAGACCAGCGGGTACCTTCCTGGGGAGGTGACATATCAATCACTCAAGAGAGTCGGCGGATTGTTCTGTACCCTGCTCGTGTACCAGGAAACACGATGAGGCTTTGAATACGGCCCAGAGTTGCTGACCCTCCCTGATCCCCATCTCCTCCAGCGAGGCGCCGGTTACATGGCATTGAAGGGGAACGCCGCAGTCCAGTTCAACCGTGTATCCTGGCGGCCTCACCTCTATTTCGGTTACGGTGCCCGGTAGGCGGTTGCGGGCCGATGTCCCGACCGGCTCCTCAGCCGAAAGTATGATGTCCGACGCGCGAATTCCGACGGTCACCCAGTCGGCTCCGTCCGTGCCTGGCGGCCCGTCGTCGAGAGGAGTCTCCAGCGCGAACCCTGCCTGGATTCCTTCGCCGACTAGCCGCATGGTGCCGTCTCTTGGTTGTGCCG